GGCAGCAAAGCGGAGGAGGGCTGAGGAGAAGGACGTGAGAAGGGGTCAAAGAGACGTCGGGTTGTGCATGCTCCGTTGAGGACTCAGGTGTCCCTTTGACATTTTCGGTGTACACTGGTAAGGTTTTCTGTGTCCTTGTGGTTTTCTGTGTTCGTGTGGTTTTATGTGTTTCGGGAACTCTCCCAGGGTGCGTCCTGACCAGATTCTCGAGGCGACTCCAGTGGTGGCGACGAGGGTCTCCCAGAAGGCCCAACATGGCAAAACAGGGGCAGGGTAGTGGTATCCGTACCTTTTGAGCGCGTTTCCATTTAGATTTTGGCAGTTTCCCTTGCATGGTCCCCCCCCTCCCCAAGCCTTCACAACCAGCGCTGGCTCGAAACAGCGTGCAAATGAGTCCCGACTTGCGTGGAATCCAGACTTCCTCTCTGGTCTTGGTCTCGCCACGCCCCACACCCTTCCATGCAAGCAAATCTGCAGAACCTACAAGACTTGACCCGGCATAGGACCCTGATAGCGGCAAAGCTGAAGGTGCGGATCGAGGACTAGGCGGTCGCTTGGTGAAAACGTGCGTCCCTAATCATTCCTAGGGGCTCCCTCTTGCAAGGGACCGTGGCCGTCTCGACTAAAAATGTAACGGCATTGAAGCACGAGCGAGATTCCTTTACAACCTGTGACAACATCAGAAGCGAAAGGGCTGTCTGACCGGCCGTCCTCCTGGGGCTCTTCTGTGGCCCCTGTTGCCCACTATTCTTTAGCGGGACGCTCTTAGGGAACATCTGCCTCTTTTCTTGGAAGTGGCAGGGGGATCTGAACTGGGACCTCAGAAATTCAGTCCGGAGGGAGGATGAAGCCAAGCCGCTTCCAAACCGGTCCCCGAACCAGTCCCGGGCTCCATGCGGCACTTCTCGCACCCGGGGCCGAAAACGGCTTCCGCGGAGGCCGCGCGAGGCCACAGCGAACCCTCCTGCAGCCAGCGCCCCGAGCCTGCCCGCCCTTCCCGCGGGCCGGAACGCGTCAGACCTGCCCGCCCAGAGCCTGCCCGCGCCCAGGCCCCTCGACGGCCCAGGGCCCCGGCGACCCGCACCTTACCGCCAGCAGGACGCTGTGAGGGAGCAGCTGCCCCTCTTCCTCCTCCGAGAACCCATGAGCCCCGAGGTCACGGCAGGTTCACGCCGCCTACGTCCTGGGAGAGCTGCTGGGGCGGCACGCCCCCAGACTTCTGGACGATCTCGGGCTCGCACCGGGACGCTTCTGCCACTGTTCTTCACTTGTGTCAGACATGTTGGGACCAAAAGCCACTTCCGGACTCCTGGAGGCGAGCGAACGTACTTCGTTGGTTCAAAAAAATCTGGCACTGCCAGGAAACTACATACCATTTCACTGTTTCAAGTTTGGTATTGCATTCTCGCTTCGATCGTATATCAACGTCTGATTCGCGGTGGTGCTGAAACCCGCATGCGCGAATCTCAATTTGGTTTCGGCCCCGTGCGTGGGACAGCAGACGCGCTCATGCTTGTCCTGCGAATGATCGAAGCTGCACATAACAACAAACACGGTGGACTTAGTCTGTCAATGCTGTGTTGGGCCAAAGCGTTCGACAGGCTCAAACCAGAAAACATATGTGACGCTCTGCGCCGATTTGGGGTTTCCTACAAATATGGCGGACATGACCAAAGTTCTTGATGCCGAGCGTTTCTTCACCAATGTCTACCACACTTGCCAATCAAACGCGAGGCAGCAGATGGCCGGCATCGCTCAAGGATGACCTCTTTCACATTTTTGCCGTGCAGCCAGTCATGCTGCATGATGCTTTTCAGAATATTGATTGTGAGGCTGAGCCTGCTGACGTAGTATCGTGAGACATCCTGTACGCAGACGACACGTTATTGGCTTCACATCGCAAAGAAAATTTTCAAAACATGCTGAACGCTATCGTTGTCAGAGTTGTCCGGGAAGCAGTGCATCGGGGTGGAATGCTTAGTTGTGATGGCAAAGCGGCGCCAGAGGTCACCCAGCGCCTGGGCGAAGCGCAACGCATCTTCAAGCAGCTCGAAACATTTTAGTCCCATACAGCATTGGGATGGAAAAGGCATACAAAGTGTACGACAATGCGTTCTGGGCAACATGTTATACTCCCTCGATCCCCTTTTGGCTATTACGAGCTGATTGGCGCAGGCTCGATGAATTCCACTGCCGATGTTTGTGGCGCATTATGGGTGTCCAGCCCTCTTTCCAGTCAAGCATGCGAAACTCAGACGTTGTAGACAGAGCCGGCTTCGAGCCGCTTTCTCAAGAAGTGCTTGGCAGACAAAAGAAGTTGTACTACAAATATCAAGTGGCCCTGAGTCGTTCGTCCGTCAGATGGTATGCCAACAAGAAGGTACACCAAACACTTGGATGGAACATCGGCGTCGCGGCCGGCCGAGACAGCAGTGGACTTCAGAAGTGTACAACCTACCTTGTCAACACAACTGGTCACCCTTCTGGCCGTGCTGTCTTCTCTCCTCCCCCCTCCTCTCTAAGCGCGATTCTGAGTTGCAGTGTTAGAGACGCCGTTCTTCGGCGGCCCTCAGCGGTTGACGTGCCAACGCGTCATGCTGGACGTAAGGCTTGTTGCGGGTGACCCCCAAAGGTCTTGACCCATTCCGCTGGACCCGCTTTTCATCCTGAATCGTTATTTGACGGCCCCGCGGCCCAATAAAGGCCCCCCAACGCCGAAAATGGCAAAAAACCTTCCGTCGCGATTTGTTGTCACGACTCGAGGGGGTTTGAGTCTTCCCAGATATCAGGCGTCTGGATTTTTCGAGACACGGACCCCCGACCTCTCGACTACGTTCCAGGGACCGGCTTTTCATCCCGAGTCGTTTTTTCGAGGTCCCGAGGACGCTGAACGTCTGAGTTTTCCTTCTCCGAGCATCGAGGAGCCGGCTGCACTCAGGAGTGACCCTAGGCTAAAATGACCTTCAGCGCGCGGCTTCCCAGAACGAGGCGGCGCCTCTCCCCTCTGGAGCGCCGGCGGGGGGTGGGGGCGGGGGGGCTGGGTGCTGAGAAATTGGGGGAAAGGTGCGCGAGTGCGTGGTCGTCAGTGCGTGGGCGTCCGCGGTTGTTTCACTCCAGCGAAGGATCGCCCAAAGGCTCGAGCTAAACAGGGTTTCCGTTTTCGCTTTGTTTTCGGTATCCCTCGTCCTGGTTTGGTTCCACGCTTTTGCTGCAAAGCAAAAAAAACGAAAACGGTCAAAGAAATTGCCCCAACACCGCTTAGCTCGAGCCCCGGGCCACTCTAACGTACTTGGCCGCCCCGGTACGCAACACGCAACCCGTAGCGTGTGTTGACTCGCAGCTCAACGCGTCGACTGAACACGAAAGCCTGGCGCGTGCCGAGCCAACACGCAGCGTGCTAACACGGACATCTTGAACACGGGACGTGCTGCGTTTCAAAACGTGCGTGTCAAGTGTCAGGGCAACCAAGCTTTAGCAGGGACCGACCGTCCTGGCATTCCTACAGGCCTACCGCGAAATGTCCTTAGAACCCAACAGTGTTGTAAGAACAACAACAGTGTTCTTGGAGCATGAGCCCGATATTTGAAAACAGGACAGTCTCAGCCAGGCATGTTCTAAGAACATTTCGTGCAGACCACAAAAGGTTCTTACATCATTCTTTCGTGGGCCTATACTAACAGGGGGTATGTCGATCCTATCCCAGGCTGCGTGGGGATTTCGAATGGACCAAAAATTTGTGGCCATACCCTGGGATATGCGAGGGTATCCCCTCCTTGTCTTAGCCGCTCCAGTTTTCGTCGAAACGTCGGGGGCTGGGATAGAAACATCGCCTGCGCCATGGGCAGGCCAGGACGCTTCGCCCCTCAGTCGAAAGCAACTGGGAGACCGGAGGAGGAGAGGGAGGAGGAGAGGGAGGAGAGGGAGAAAGAGGAGGAGGACAGGACAGGACAGGACATCCGTACGAGGGGGGCAACGTCAGTGCGCCCGCTGGGGTGCAGTGTAAGCGTATGCGAGATTCCCCTGCGTGGGCGCTATGCAGCAAGGACTCGACAGCCCTTCGACATCTTCTCGAGGAGGAGGAGGAGGAGGAGGTGGAGGAGGAGGAGGAGCAGGAGGAGGAGCAGAAGCAGGAGGAGGAGGAGGAGGAGCAGAAGCAGGAGCAGGAGGAGGAGGAGGAGGAGGAGGAGGAGGAGGAGGAGGAGGGGAGGAGGAGGAGGAGGAGGAGGAGGAGGAGGAGGAGGAGGAGGAGGAGGAGGAGGAGGAGGAGGAGGAGGAGGATGAGGCGGAGGCGGAGGAGGAGGAGAAGGAGGAGGAGAAGGAGGAGGAGGAGGAGGAGGAGGCGGAGTCGAACGCCGCTGGGAGCCCGGAGGCTTGCCGGCCCGGCCTGGGTCCGCGGCGCCCTGCGGCTGCCCGCCCGGCGGGCGCCCGCCCACCGGCCCGCCGCCCGCCACGCCGCTCGGGGGGGGCGCCGCCTCCAGGGGCCTCCAAGACTCGGGTGTTGCTAGAAGTACCCCTGGCCCAAGGTCCCCCCAGGATTCTCGGGGTGGCCCAGACGGCCTCCAGGGCACCCCTCACGAGGCCCAGAGGGCCCCAGGGGCTCCAAAAGGGAGCGAAGAGCTGGGGGCACCTTGGGCAAGGGGCACTTCTAGCAACACCCGTCTAAGACGGGGCCCTGGGACACACGAATACGCACAGATAGCAGGATTCCCAATCTTTTCCTGTATTTTCTGGGTCTCTGTCTTCCCCCCCACTTCCCATATGTTCCCATATGTTCTGGGGAATCGACGATTCATTGTGTCTGTGTGTGTGTGTGTTCCCCCTCCTGATATAGAGACGGGGTCGGAGGACCGCACCATCAATCGCCAATGCCTCGGCGATGCCGAGGCGACGTCGGCGTGGAGAAGGCTGGGCTCCGCATCGAGAGGCATCGCCGATGCACCCGCGGCGTGGCGCGATCCTCCGACCCCGGCTGCTCGGACCCCATCTGGGAGGCCCAGAGCCTCCCGCTGCTGGCCGTAGGGCACGGGCGGCTGCGAGGGCCTCGGCGCTGCGCGGCGCCCGAGGCTTGCGAGGGTCGAGGGGCAACGATAGGCCCCGAGATCCCGGCGTTGGCATTTTTGCCATCGCGGGCGTCTTCGCCCAATATCGGGCCCTGGGACCCTCACATCTGGATCCGGCTCGACAAATGATGCAGAAAGATGGGGTCCGGGGCTCCAGGCGTGATCTTCTGCGGGGTTGCAGTTTTTTCGCAACGTCGGATCTCAGGGGCTGAGGGGCAACGATAGGGAGGGGGGGGGGACTGGCATATGGGGGGACATCGACGCGGAATCGGCGATACATCGCCGACAGATCGGAGATATGCGCCCCCGATCGCAGAGCCGCACGTTCCTGGGCGATTGGGGGTCGATTCGCCCCCCCCCCCCCCCCCTCTGCCTGCCCCCCCCCCTCTCGCTGCCCCTCGAGAGGTTCTGGGTTCGAGGGCCTGCTGTGGCAGAGGGAGGGTCTGGCTTCCAAGGGTCAGGGCCCCCGGAGCTTCCAAGGGTCAGGGCTCCCGGAGGAGGCGGAGGGGCAGTGGCTCCCTCGGAGCGTCCCGCTGGAGGTGTGGCAGGCAGCGAGGGCCTTGGAGCCGTCTGGGGGTCCGAGTGCGTATCGCTTCGCCGATCCCCCGTCCCCAGCGGCGTGGCCTAGGCCCCCCTGGCCGATTTTAGATAATCCAACTCTATACACCGACGCTCATTCGGGCCCTGCATTGGAATTTGCACTGGTGAGCGGATCCTGGTGTGTACGGGACCCTGGTGTGTACATGTTTCGTTGTTTCCTCGGAGCATCGGGGAAAAAGTATACACCACACCACCCCAGCGTCGCCCTCGACCCTCAAGATGTCCTGGGATTGAAAAACAGCCCGCCACTGGTAATGTATATGTTCCAGCTTCCGAGATTTGCCCCCCTCGATAGGGGTATCGGCCGTTCCCTTCGGGTTTCGAGGGGCGCATCCCCAAAACTGGGGTGGCAGTTTGGTGGGGGTCTCGAGGGGGATGGAGATGGGGATGGGGACCAAATCAATGATACTGGCTGAGGGCGGGCGGTCCGGAGAAGCAGGCAGGCTCGAGCCGCTCTGGCCAGCAGGAAGGGCGGGCAAGCTCGAGGCGCTCGGCTCGGCGGATTCTTGCCGCTGGCGGGCCCCCGATGGCCCCGTGATGGCTCACGGGAGGTGTCCGGGGACTGATCCTGCGTGGATTTGGCCTCATCCCCCCTCGAGTCATGAGAACCACGCGCTGGGATTCCTGCTTCGCTGCTCGTGGCCTCATGGGGGCCCCCGCGGGGCTCCAGGGCGTCGGCAGAAGCGGCTCTGGAGGAGGAGCCGATCCCTGGGCATGGGTGGAGACGGGTCGAGGACTTCGGGGTCGGCGTGCCGAGCAGATCGTGGCGTCGGGGGTCTGGGAAGGCTGCGGGCTGCGCGCACAGACAGCCCCTCCCCACAGGGAGTCCTAGCTGGCGTCAACGGACCCCCCCGAATGATCCGAGCTGGCCTCGACATGCCCCCAATTAGTCAGAGCTGGCTTCAAGAGGACCCCCGAGCAGCCCGAGGCTGCTTGGGGGGGTCCTGTCGAGGCCAGCAGGGACTACCCGGGAAGGGGCTGTCCACGCGTAGCCCGAGGCCTCACCAGGCGACAAAACGCCGACGGCGCCTCCCGCGGGCGACAGTGTCGGCTCGAGGAGTGGCCCGAGCATGCGACCCAGACCTCCAGCATCTTAACGAAACTGTAGGCGACGTCTTTTCACAACTTTTAGCCTCGGCGGGCCTCTGTGGGGCCTCGGCGCCCTCAAACAGCGGCTCGGGACGAAAAGCCGGCCCCTGGGAAGGGGTCGGGACTTCCGAGGGCCCTGCATCCCCCCCCCCAAAAAAAAACACATCGGATGACTTTTTTTTTCGCACGGCGACATGCACGATCAAAAAGCCAGTCCATTCTGCAACTACGCGGGGTGCTTGCACGGGGGGGGGGGAAGAGCCCCCCAATCGGGGGCCCGGCGGGCGGGGCGCCCCGGAGGGCCCCAGGGAAGAGCTCGGCGGCGGCGCCGGAGAGAGCAGAGAGCACGTTTGGCTCCACGATGCACGAGAATCGAGCGTGCACCTCACTTGGGGGGGAAGCGAGGACGAGGAGGAGGAGGAAGCGAGGATGAGGAGGAGGAGGAGGATTGTGGCCCCATGCAAGCCTGTCCTTGCCCTAGACGTTAGCGTCGGCGGCGGGCGCCTCCTGCGCCCCGGGTTTGGGGCGCAGGCCTGGAAACCAGAAGGATATCACGATCCAGAACAGGAAATTGATCACTGGGGCCACAACGACCAAGAGGATCCCGCTGAGGCGTCTGGCGCTGGCAAAATTGTCCCCCCAGTTGAGCACCGAATAGATGTAGGGATCTCCCTCGCAGTTGGTGCCATCAAGCAAATAATAGATGTATATGAACACGGCGTATACGACAGCAAACATGAAAAAATAAATCCCGTGCAGCAGGTAATACGGCTTGTTCGAGAAACACGTGTCAGCCATCATCACTACGAAGTTCGCACCGTGCGTCAGGTAGGAAAGAACTGCAGTTGGCGGGTCATTCCAATCCACCAAGAGCGCAAAATAGAGCACGAACACCAAAAACGTCGTGGGCACCATCAAGCCGAAAAGAAACCACGTGACCTGGGCATAGAGAGGAATCGATTCCACCCTCTCGAACCTTCCAGAACTCATACCGTTTGCCATACATGTTGTGAAGAAGTCGAACCAAGAGTACACCGTCTGAAGGGTCAGGCTCCAGTGCGTCAGGAACGCGAACCATGTGACGCCGCAACCATCGACTTAGGACCAGATCCATAGTCCTGTCAGGAAAAGGGCTGACAGTATCTCGAAGATGTTGTACAGGATTGGGTTCTTCATGCAGACGCGATTGCTGCTGGATCCGAATACTGTAATCCACTCGCCTTTGTTGAAATCATCGAAATCGGCCCTCTGCAACTGGAGCTCCGCCTTGACCCGTGCGAGAAATGCCCCCATGCCGTGCCTAAGCGTGCTGTCCTCAAGGCGAAAAGGCGGCAGAGCGTGCTGCGTTTTTCGATCGCGTACACAGGAAGCGGACTTGAATCGAATGGGCGATGGACCTTGAGCCAAAATGGCTACGGAAAAAAAACACATCGGATGGCTTGGGGACCTTGTAGCCCTACTTGCAGCCGATTGCGAGGGCGGGGGTGGGGGTGGGTGGGGCGCGCAGCAGTTCAACGTGCCCCACAACAGCATTCCTGGGCCCATTACCACTGTCATCATCAACCACCACCATCATACATTATTTCCGACCTTGCGCTTTCAGCAAGCATGCTCCTGCTCGAACTCGTCATCACGGTCATACCTCTACTCTGATTACCCGTAGTCGCGGCGCTACTACACATGCAACTGCTCTTCCTCTTGTTCGCATCCCTACCATCGCTACGCGCATTAATTTCAAGCGCTCTCCTTACTCGCATTCGGACTGTTCTCACTTGCCTACACGTCGTTCAGTTCTCATCGTGCTCATTTCTAATCGTGCTCGTTCCTACTTGCCCCTGGCCCCCCAGTGGCCAGGAAGAGGCCCAGGAGAGCACAATCAGCAATGACAGGATCTTGCCCCCCAAACCATCAAAGAACCTGCGAAGAACTCGAAACATGAACAGTGTAATGCGCACCCTCTTCAGGAGCTCGGCCCGCCCTGCGGGCCCAGCGGCCACCTTTGGCCATGGCTGGCCCGCGTGGCGGGCCTGGCGGCCCTCGCTCCCTTGTCGCCGCCGCCGCCGCCCCGCCGTGCACCGCTCGACGCTGCAGCCCCCTCCCCCCCCCGCCTCCCGCTCGCCCCGCCGGGCGCTGCACTGCGCTGCGCTGCTCTTCGCACCGCTTCGCCTTGCTTTGGATCGCTGTGCACTGCGTCATACGTTGCCGTGCCCTGCTCTGCGTCGCGCTACCTTGCTCTGCCTTACACTTCACTGCCTCGAATTACTCTTTATCGCTGTGCATTGCTTTGCATTGTGTTGCATTGCGCTGCGCCACATCTATGGCACCACATGGATCTCATCACCTAGATTGCACCACATTGATTGCACCACCTCGATTGCACCGCATTGTCTGCAAGAAAGCACTGTTTGAGCCCACGCTGGCTAACATTCTCAATGTCGCTGCAGTTGCCACTTATATGTAGTTATGACTGCAGCTCCCGAACATTCATTGCAACTGCCCTTGTTGCTTCTTGTTTTGTTGGTAATGCTCGTCGGTTTTGGTTTCCAATGGTCATTGTTGCGCTCGTCTGATCGCTCGGAACATTGTTTCCGTATTGGCTGATGTTTCTTTCTTGCTTCCACATCGAGCTCTGTATCACCTCTGGGTGATGACAGTAAGCCTGGTAAACGTGACCTGGGAACGAAGTGCTCCCTGGAAAAACTATCATTGAAACTCGCCTTGACATGGGTATTACACGTCGTCCTAAGTGTAATGCGTGTTATTCACATGGTTGGTTCTTACTCACGATCACTAACGTAAGTGACAGTGCTTACACTGTTCCTGGTTACGCTTCTGCCTGGCATGACTATCATTCCTCCACCATTCCATGTGAAAGCGTTTTCGCAATCGCCCTCCCACAGCGTTCTGCCCCCTCGCCGCCGCCCCTGCTCCTCCTCCCCCTCCCCGCTGGGTGCCCGCACCTAAATCCATCAGGGCACTATCGGGACACCGTCGTTGAATTCACCAGGACACCCATGGGAACACCATGGTTAAATCCGTCGATTACGAGCGAAAGAGCTTGAAATCATCCCTCCTAAAGAATATTTCCATAGCGAGCAAGATTCAGAGCATCAGCTCTGTCCTCCAGGGTGGGTGACCAGGGTGGCCCTGCAGGGGCAGCAGGTGGAGCGGAAGCGGGCGTGTTGGGGGGGGGGCTCCGTCGAACGAATTTCCGAAAAGGGGAACCATGCCTAGTTAAAAACAGTGGATTTGCGCGCCCATGGCCGCGATCCTTTTTGTTAAATCCACCGATCTGGCGCGTGAGACTGACTAGAGTAGGAACACAAACCAGCATCTCGAAAGGACAGGGAGAGCAAGGCTCTGAGCTTCAGGGCTGCTCTCCAGGAGGGCTGGGCCAGGGCCTGGGGACTCGGGGACGTGCTGAGACCGGAGGCAGGGGGCCCTCCCCGTGCCCTCGCTGGCAGTGCCCCGGGCCACAGCGCCCCGGCCAGCCGAGAGCGGGGGCACGGCCCAACAGGGCCGCAGGCGCTTCGCCGAGGCCCCCGCTCGCTCACAGTGCCCCCCGCCTCCGCCGCACCGAGCCCGTGCCCGGGGAGCGCGGCCGGGACGCCGACTCAGAAGGGACCGCCCTGGGCTCCGGCAGGGGCTCTGGCCTCCGGGCCGCCTTCTGCCAGGGCCCCGCCTGCCCGCGGCCGAAGCCCGCCGCGGCCGGCAGGGGCCCTTCCGCTCCCCTTCGCCTGCTGCTCCCCGCGGCAGCAGGCTGCCCGCGGGCCCTGGCATCCGCCGCCCGGGTGCCTGCCACCCGCGGCGCCAGGGCCCCCGACCGCTTCCCCAGGGCAGCCGCGCGCCCCGGATCCGTGTCTGCTGGGGCCCTCTGCTGGAGTGGCTCCGAGGTGGCCCAAGACCGCCCCGCGACGGTCCCGAGACTCCCCCGAGCAGGCCCAAGGCTCCCCAAGCGGCCCCGACTCCCCCGCAGGGACACCAAGATGGCCCCACGAGGCTCCTCAAGAGCTCCAGGGGGGCCAAGGCACGCCCCCATGATCGGTCACACACGTGGCGAGGCCATACACCCCAACACTCATTGATACGGGTATACGCACGACACTGCCAACATATAATAAGAATATTCGCCGTTCGACTGCCGAATATCGCCCCAAGAGGGCCCAAAACGACCGCAAGGAAGTGGTCGGGCAGAGATGCCCAAGATGGCCTCCCCAACGGGTCTGACTCGCGTAAAGTTAGCTCAACGATGGCCCAGCAGCCTTCTTACGCAGTCCCCGAACCATTAAATCTTGCAAAGCCCATCGTCGAAAATTCCGTCTTCACGGGGTTGGCGGAGTGGCGCAAACTCCATTGAACCAATCGGAACAACATGAGGAAACCGTGCAGACACCACAGAAAGTTAATCGGGACAACATCGGTACACAATAAGCCTTCGGGATACTATCACAAAACTGCTGCAACATCATCCGTGCGCCATGTGTGGACACGATCGACATCTCATGATTAAACATCACGGGGAAACCATCGAGAACCAATCGAAGCATCACCAATCGAAACATCATGCGAATACCATGGCAACGCGCAATCGGGACATGATCGACAACATGTCGGGACACTATCGGGACATAGTAAAAACAACATCGGTCCACCACAAGGACACCTAAAAGGTCCCGCCTGACGGAGCAGGATTTGGAGAACTGCTTTCCGACATCTGCGCTAACAACATGGGAACTTGCGCACAATTTCGCACACGGGTCACGCACGACACGACTATGAACCACACTTACTTGGTGGGGGCAGGTTCAAAGAAACTCCAACGTCACATCCCCCACAAATTTCGATAGATCGTCCCGGGATGCCACCCCTGGAAATTATCACGGGAGCCGTCCCACGGAGCCGCCCGTGGCATTGGTCTCGATCCCAGCGAGGTCCGCCACAGAAACAGGTGGCACGCACGCATTGGCCCTTGCACGGGGGAGCGGCGAGGGAAAGGAGAAGCGTAGAAGCCAGGCGCATGGAAGCCAGGGAGGTCCGAGATCGTACAGGAGGCCAGGGCACGGGCGGGGGCCTGGGCTACAGGGGGCTGGGGGGGGGTGGTCGGGGGAGGCCAGGGCTGGGGGTCCAGGGCAAGGGTGGGGGCGGGGTTCGGGGGGGGGGGGAGGCCAGGGCACGGGGGGCCATGCCAGGGAGGCCAGGGCACGGGGGGGGCCAGGGCAGGAGAAGGGGGGGCCCTGGGGAGGCCAGGGCAGAAGAGGCCAGGGGAGGCCACGACGACGACGACGACACGACACGAAGACAAGAGAGGCACGCGTGCCAAGGATCACACAATGACGAATGCGGAGCAATTCACGCAGTGAGGGATGCGGAACAGTGGGGGATGGTGATGGCGCCAGGCTCTGCTGGCATTGGGGGAGTGCGCCAGTGCTGCGACACGCCGCCGCGCAGCGGATAGCACCGGTCTTTCTGCCAAGCCGTGCGAGACAGCCCCGTACTGGGTGGGATATTAATCGACGGGTGGGCGCCTAACCTTCCGACGGAGCTTGCCCATCCCCCCCCGCCTCCTCCTCCCCCTCCTCCTTCTCCTTCTCCTCCTCCCCCTCCTCCTCCTCCTCCTCCTCCTCCTCCTCCTCCTCCTCCTCCTCCGACCCCACCCTCCACCCGTTCCGACAGCACGTGCCCCCCCCCCAGCGGATCCAGGGGGGGGGGGACTATTGCCCCATTCCAGAGCACCTGTTGCGAAGGCGGCCCGCTGGCTCCCTGCAGTCTCGCCGAAACTCCACGTCTGGACCTCGCAAAGGGTCACGCCGAGGCCGAGACTGAGCCGCCACGACGGCACGACACGTCGGCACGCAGAGGAAGCAAGCCGAAGCCCCGGGGGGGGGGGGAAGGGGGGAAGCCGGGGAAGCCGGGGAGGCCAGGGCCACGACGGCACGACGACGGCACGAGAACCTTCGCCATCCGAACCCCTGGGGAGGGACGGGGGGAGGCTGGCGAGGCCGGGGCGAGAGGCCAGAGCGACCAGGGGGAGAGGCCAGGGAGGCCAGCAGTGGAGGGTCAGGGGGGGCCACGACGACGACGACGACGGCGACGACGACGACGACGACGACGACGACGACCCGAAAAGAAAGCAATCCCAAGCCCTGGGGGACGGGGGAGGCCAGCGAGGCCACGGCGAGAGGCCAAAGAGGCCCGGGAGGAGAGGCCCGAGAGGCCGGGGAGGAGAGGCTTGTGCAGGGGGGGCCACCACAGGGGAGGCCAGAGGGGACCAGGGGAGGCCACGGCGACACGACGATGGCACGAGAGTGAAGCAGCCCGAAGCCCTGGGCGGACGGGGCGGGGCCAGGGAGGTCAGGGGGAGAGGCCGGAGAGGAGAGGCCAGGGCGGGGGCGCGCCTCCAAGACATCTCCCAGACACTCTCCAGGGCACAATCCAGCACGCCCTCCAGCAGACATCTCCAAGACACTCTCCAGGGCACGCTCCAGCGCACACTCTGGCACGCATCCCCAAAACATCCCCAAAACACTCTCCAGGGCACACTCTAGCACGCCCTCCAGCAAACATCTCCAGTGTACTTTCCAGGGTACTCTCTAGCACGCCCTCCACGTCCTCTGGCAGATGGCATCTCCAAGGCACTTCATGCCCTCCGGCAGATATCTCCAAGACACTCTTCAGCACACACACACACACACTAGCACGCACTCCACGCCCTCCGGCAAATCACATCTCCAAAAGACTCCACTCCCAAACTAATGCAGTGCGAGATCACACCAGCAGGTGTGACAAGAGAGGAGGCAGCCGAAACTCTGGGGGAGACGTGGTCCAGGGGACCAGGGCACCGGGGGGGCGGTCCAAGGAGCCAGGGCAAGAGGGGAGGCCAGGGCAGGGAGGTCAGGGCTGGGGGGGAGGGCAGTGGGCGAGGGCTGGGGGGGGTGTGGGGGGGGGGGGGGGGGGGCGCCAGGGAGGCCAGGGCAGCAGGGAGACCAGGGGAGGCCACGACGGTACGACACGTGCCCGAGGAGAAGGGAAGCCGAAGCCCTGGGATGGACAGGATCCAGGGAGCCAGGGCAAAGGGGGGGGGGGGGGTGAGAGGGGGCGGCCAGGGCAAGGATGTCGGCCGGGGAGGCCAGGGCCGGAGGGACGGGGTCCAGGGGGCCATGGCAGGGGGGCCCCAGGGAGGCCAGGAGGAGGCCACAACGACGACACGACACGGCACGAAAAAAGAAAAATCCGCGAAGCCCTGGCGGGGGACGTGGTCCAGGGGGCCAGGGCGAAAGGGGGGGAGGAAATAACGGGCCTCCAACACGTCTCTGAGGCACGCCAGCTCTCGGGTACAGCAAGGACAGGCGCGGGCCCCAGGAAAGAGAGGCGGAGACAACGGGACCCATCGGGACGGCCAGCAAGGAAGGGCCGACTGTCCATGCATCTGCGGGGACAGGCTTCGGCAGGCCTCTACGGCCAAGACATCTTCTGCAGGGTCAGGCCTCCAGGAACGATCTCAGCTTGAGACTAGGAAGCTTGATCGGCCCCCTAGCAGCTGGACACTCTCTGGCGCACGACTAAGCTGACGTCAAAACAGGCAGCCGCCTGTGCAGAGGCTACAGAACTCCTCCAACACTCCTACCCCACCGCGTGAGCATGATCCTGGCACCCGGAGCTGGGCTCTGCACCAGGCGGAGTAGCCGCCGCCATGGGCCCACTGGTGCTGCGCGTCGCCCGAGCCTGGCCTGTGCGGCGGGCACCACCGCTGCACCTCCCCCCACTGCCGCGCGTCCAGCTCGTTGAGCCTGAGACCGCGGGCCACGACGCAGGCATCGATGGCGTCGACCAGCTGCTGCATGTCTTCGGGCGGCGCGTGCAGCCGGGCGGCCGACTGCGCGATGTTGAGCATTAGCTGGGGCGTCAGCTCCCCCCTGGCCACGCCCTCTGCAGCCTTGTGGGTCAGCAGGGACATGAAGGTCATCATCGACTGCGTCCTCTGCCTCGACTTCTGCCCCCAGTGCGACAGTGCGACAGCGACGCCAGAAAGGTCCCGCCAGTTCGCGGCCAGACCGTTCGCGGCCATGCTGCTCATGCGCAGCTTCATGTCCTCGACCACGGCCGAGCAGAAACGCTCCATCGTCGACCACCTCCCGCCGCCTGGCCCAGAGAAGTCCGTGCGAACGCAAGCCCACATGAGGTTCGCGACAGCCTGTGCAGAGTAGCCCCCCAGCTCCGTCGCGCAGTGGGCCGTCGCGGCCTCGATGAAGCCCCGGGCCGGGGCCAGCGCGGGCGCGGCTCCAGTGAGATCCAGCGTCGCCAGGGACCAGGCGATGTTGGAGATGCCCTGGTCTTCGAACTTGTCGATTTGGGTCGTTGCCACCGCGGCCAGCCTCAGCAACAGGTCCTCCACCGCTGCGGGCCGCAGCAACGCGCGGCCCTTCTTGACGTAGAGCTTCGCGTACGACCACGCCACCATCGAGAGCTCCTGCGTCTGGAACTCCAGCAAGCGGCCTGCAGAGGCCTCGGCCATGGCGATGAGCGTCAGCTGAACGCTGTTGTTGTCTTGGGGGCCTTGGCCGACGCCCGCCGTCCGCAGCTGGGCTAGGGCCCACAGCACGTTGGCCAGCCCCTGGGGGGTGAAAGACTCGAGCTGCGCTGCTGTGCCGGTCTGATCCATGGCCAGCCTCATGTACTGCTCCACGTCGGGCCCGTAAAACTTGAGCCGGGCAAGTGCCCAGAAGGAATTCGCGATGCTCTGCGAAGTCAAGACGTCTACCTTCTGGATGCACTGGCGGACAATGGCGCGGGACACGAGGCTGACCTGGTCCACGTGGCCCTCCGCACCGCTCGCGCCACCAGGGAAGAGCCGCGCGATGCCCCAGAGCGCGTTGGTGAGGTCCTGCGGGGTGCACTTGGCCATCATCTTGGGCAACATGCTGCAGATGTGGAGCATGCACTCCTCCATGCCCGGCAGCAGCGGTGGCGAGTGCGCGTTGGCGCGCGTGTCGAGCTTCCCGAGGCTCCACACAAGCTGCGCAAGCGACCTCGCGCCGGTCTGCAGCCTGGGGATCTCCCACCAGAGCTTGTCCAGCAGCGGCCGCAAGCGCGGGTTCTGGGTGAGCCCTAGCTGCGCCGACGGCCTGCGCGCCACGCGATAGAGACACTCTGCGATCATCGCGGTCGTCAGCCTCGACAGGTGCTCGCTCACGACATCAAGCATGGCGTCCGCGGTCTTCATGCTCTCCATCGTGTCCAGCATATGGATGTCTTCCTTAGGGGTAAGAAACATTGCATAAACAAGATTTCTCGGAAGTCCGCGCGGATTCTTAGATCGGCGCTGGACCCTCCTGGCGGCGCTGGGGGCGCCGCTAGGGGGGCCCGGCGAAGATCCGCGGAGCTCCGACAAATTGTACAGTTCAGTGGCACTTCATGGGAGCCTCCCATACCATCTTGTCGGCTCTTGCGAATCGACGCTAGTCGACGCAAAATCAACGCTAATCGACGCTAAATCGACGCCAATCGACGCTAAATCGGCGCTAAATCGGCGCTATCTCATCGACTCCCAGACGCTAGTCGACACTAAAGACGGAAATAACGGGGCAGGCCAGGCTCCCATGATTTGCGACCGAAGTACAGATGCCGTTTCTCTTTCTCCGGATCCTCGGAAACATCGGTGCTGTCGAAGGCAAAATGCGCCTCGTCCCCCCTGGAAGCGCCAGCGTGCCAGCCGGAGGCGGCTGCCGCAGCGCCTCTGGCCGCTTCTTGTTGCCGCTCCCTCGCCAACGCGCGGCGCCCGCAGCGCGCCGGTGCTCTCTCGTGCGTCTGGGTATGTGTGCGCGCGGGCCCACACTCTCGATGTCGGCGCTGGTCGCAGAAGCGAGGGCGGGGAGCACTTGGGCGTTGCTCAAGGGGGGGAGGGGGCGATAGATTGGGGGGGAGGGGCAGGGATCGACCTGAAGGGTGTTGTTCGTTCTCGTTTTGCTTTCGCTTTTTCCCCCGCGTTTTGTCTTCAGCCCGCCTCTGCTGCAAAACGAAGTCGAAACGAGGACGGTCCACGAAATCGCCAAAATACCGTTTCGGTTAATCGGCGTGTCCCTCTACAGGAGGACTAGTCAAAAATAATCCAACAATAATATGGGGACGAATCCTACCAGCCCTCTGGGCGTCGGTGGTTGAGGGCGTTTCCTCTTCCACCCCTCCTTCTTCCCCTTCGGGGAGGGGTTTACCCCTCCCCCGCCTCCCCTGGACCTGGACGGGGGGGGGGGGGTCGCGAGTCGTCGGAGCGTCCAAAACGGCCTCGGCGAGGAAACCAAAATCATTGAACTTACACGGTTGTGGCCCCATTTTGGCCTTCTGGGGGGGCGACTGTAATTCGTAACCCCCCTTCTTTGATCGATCTCCTCCGAGGTGGCCCCCAAAGCGCTCCCAAGGCTCCCCAGGGTGCCCCAAGAGGGCCCCAAGAGATGGCCAGGAGGCCCGAAGAGGCCCCCAAGAGGCCCTCAGGATGCCCCCAAGAGGCTCCCAAGAGACCTCCAAGGGACCTCCAAGAGGCCCCCAGAGGCCCCCAAGAGGCACCCAAGACGCTCCAAGAGGCCTCGGCGACAAGTTGATTTTACGTAGGTGTTGGTCACATTTTGGCCTCCTGGGGGGGGCACTGCTTCAGATGACTCCAAGAGCGCCTGGGAGAGCCAAAGATGATCTCCAAGATGGCTCAAGATATCCCAAGATGCCTCAAGATGGCGCCCACGATGCTCCAAGAGGACCCAAGACCGCTCCAAGACGGCCCCCCTCACTTTAGCACACCCCTCACACGTTTCGTGGCCCCATGGGGATCTCCACCGAAGGCCCCAGTGGCTGCGTTCGCATGCCGCCACCCCCATCACTTTAGCACACCCTCACACGTTTCGTGGCCCCATGGGGAGCTCCACCTAAGGCCTCAGTGGCTGCGCCCGCATGTCTTCCCCCGCTTCTCCCGGTGCCTGTCAGCCGCAACGGGCTACATCAGCATGCAACCCGTTTCGTCTGACCTTCGCGCCCCCTGCGGGCGGCCCCAGCGGCACCGCCCACATGGCGGCCCCGCCCCATTTCGGCGCTCCCTTTACGCGGCTCGTGGAGACGTAGGGAGCTCCACCGATGGCGGTTCTCACAACGGCGGTACTCTCCCATTGCATATGGTTGGGTCCGTCGCGAGGAGATTTTTCGAAACGTCGGATCTCAGGGACGGATACGATACCCAGCAGCAAATGACTCCCAAACCGACAGCGGCCGCCGACGGTCAAGTGGCCGTCTGCGGCAAGTGGGCCATATCCAGGGCGACCACGGCGACACCGGCAGCGAGCCCTGTCCAAGACGAATTCTGTATCAGCTCTTTGTCAGAATTCTCTGATGGAGGGAGGGAGGAGGAGGAGGTAGAGGAGGAGGAGGAGGAGCAGGAGGAGGAGGAGGACCGAACTGCTGTCGGTCTTTGTCCGAGTTCTTTTTATGTACCTATTTCCTTCGTACCGACTCTGGGCGGGCGCGGGGTGTATCCCTGAGCAGACGCGCGTCTGCGCCGTGGATTTGACCTCCCTTGCTAGGCTGTGAGACGGCTGGAGATGGCCAGAACACCTTTCAAGTATGCCGCAAGCAGCGTCAAGGCGCGCTGCCCCAGCTGAGGGGGCGCGCCATCGAAGCAGGGTTCGGGGCAGCACAGGGCGTGCCCAGGCCATCGACGGTACGACCTTTTCTGTCCCAGCATGTTTCCTTGGAAGTCTGCCTCTGGGGACTGCCCTCTGGGGCCATCTCAACGGATCCGCGGCGAGCAACTGCCCCCGAGGGAGGGACCGGACCTCCTGGGGCCGCGCATCGAAAACTTATCGGCGGGTGTGGCGGCATGCGAACGCAGCCACTGGGCCTTCGGTGGAGCTCCCCATAAGGCGATGGAACGTATGAGGGGGGTGCCACAGTGAGGGGGGTGGCGGCATGCGAACGCAGCCACTGGAGGCTCCGGTGGAGCCCCTCTGTGGGGCCACGAATCATGTGAGGGGTGTGCCGAAGCTGAAGGCGATGATCACGATGGCGATGATGACGGCGATGATGCCGATGATGACGATGACGATGATGGTGAAGACGATGATGACGGTCATGGTGTTGATGATGCTGATATTGACGTTGGTGGGGATGGTGATGAGGATGATGAGGATGGTGATGATGCTGCTGATGATGATGTTGATGAGGAGGATGACTATCATGACATTGATGACGCCGCTTACGGTGATACTGCTGCTGGTGATGATGCTGATGTCGATGATAATGATGATGATCATGCTGATGCTGATGGCGATGATGATGCTGATAATGACGATGCTGGTGACGATGGCGATGATGATGCTGATGTTGATGCTGATGATGCTGATGATGATTATGATGATGGTGCTGGTGATGCTGCTGATGATGATGATGATGATGATGATGATGATGGCGATGGTGGCGATGGTGGTGGTGATGCTGATGATGATAGTGATTATGCTGCCGCTGATGATGATGCTGATGCTGACGATGACGATGATGATGATGATGATGCAGAAGGTGGGGGGTGAAGACTCTTATAATCCTGATGATGATGACGATGAGGACACGCAGATGACCGAGGCAGATTCATTGGAATGATGACGATGATGATGATGATGATGATGATGATGATGATGATGATGATGATGATGATGATGATGATGATGATGGTCATGATGATGCTGAAGAAGAAGATGATGATGAATATGGATATGAAGACGATTACGATGGCCATGACGACGATGATGATGACGATGCTGATGATGATGCTGGTGATGATGATGATGCTGGTAAATGATGACGCAGATGATGATGCTGCTGCTGATGATGATGATGATGATGATGATGGTGGTGATGACGATGAGGACATGCAGGGGGCAGAGGCAAAGGCGGAATGGGGGATAATGGGGAGGAGGAGGAGGAGGAGGAGGAGGAGGAGGAGGCGAGGAACGCAGGGAGCCGTCTCTTCAAAATGAGAACCCAAAACCACAGGATGGTTGGGGCAAAAAATCATCGCCGGATGTCTGGGGCGTGCCAGAACGACTCTCCGTCGGCGTCGCCACAGCGGCGGCTTGACCTGAGAATCTCCTTGCCCCATCGCCCCCCCTCCTGGACAAGGAAGGGAGACTCGGCCATGTGGAGCTCGGCCAGCTGACCTCGGCCAGGCTGAGCTCGGCCCGGCGAATTTAGAAAAGCGCCTGCCACTACCCGCAAAGGGACTACTCGCAAATGGGAAGGATCCGCCGTGGAGGACTCACGCTCCATCACGTCGATGCACACATGGTTTTTTTTTCGGTTCTTTGCGAGTAGGCACGTTGCGAGGTGTGGAACGCGCTCGGTGAGAATTCAACTTGGCCAAACTCAGCCTCGCCAAGGTCGGCCAGCCGAATTCACCCTGGCCGAGTTCGGCTGGCCGAGTTCAGCCTGGCCGGGTTGGCCGAACTTCGCTGCTGCCTCGTGGCGCATCGCCCCCCCGCACTCGCCCGCCTCGCGGGGGCGGCGGCCGCGGAGGCGCGTGCTGCGGCGGCGGCGGAGGCTGGGGCTGTCTGAAGTTGCCTCTCGCGCCGCCCGCCGCTGCCCGCGCGCGCGCGCGCCTCTTCGTGCAGGCCGCCAGGCTGGACAGCCGAGGGACAAGCCCAGACTTCCGACGCCATGATCACAGTCCAAACAACGTTTTTCTGCTTTTGAAGGCCCTCGCTGGGCCCCAGGACTGTCAAACATCGACTCAGGACGCAAAAACCAGCCGAGAGTCCGGCGGTGGTAATGGGGGGTGGCCTCAATGGGAGGTTAAAACAATACCCTAATAAAAAAGGTGCCCTTTAGGGCCCCATTTGGGCACCAGCTGGCTCCAAAGGGGCCCCATCAAGGGCTCCTTTAGGACCCTATTCTTCACCCCCCAGTGTAGTCACCCCCCCATTATTACCCGCCCGAGTGAGGGAAGGTTCGGGGCTTCCAGGAAGCCCTGTACTGAACAGATCACGGCACCAGACGTCTGGAAGGGGCGGGTTGTCCAGGGAAACCGCTTCTGGGCGCGCTTCTGTCCGGATTGCCGCCCAGTGCTGAGCCTAAGTAGCGCTTGCAGTCCCAGCGGAACTTACCCCTCGCGCTTCTGCGCCACAGGTGGGATTGTCTGAGTGTCTGGGTCCTCGAAAGGTGGTGGCATGCGCCCAAGAATCTGGCAAAGTTCAACCTTGTTTTTTTTGTTGGGGGGGGGCGAAGTGGCAGCAGCTTAAGGACGCAATGTGATGTCAAGATGAACCTGCGCACTGGAAATAAAGTCAACGACGACCAATCACAACGTGGACTGGGGTAGGCCGTGTGGGCATGGGAAACTGAACTGATGCGCCGTGAGCCAGCCTGCGCCAACACCAAAGCAACTAGAATTGAAGCTGAAGCCGGGACTGAAGCTAGAAGTAAGGATATGGCTAAGTCTCGCACGGGGAACTGTGTAGAGAAAGTCATGGGGGGTTGCAAACGAATCGGCACAATAATCACCGTAGGCCGTAGGGCCTTCAATGTTGCCAATAAGTTGCGGGTGGATGGGTAAGATGTTTGCTCGAGTATCGGAACTGACGACTTCAAGACTTCCTAGAAAGTATGATTTCTCCTCCATAAGGTCGCACGACAACTCCCCATGAAAAGTGGACAATATTGCTCAGAAAGGCACGGGCATCTATCAACGCGCCCGTGAGATCGCTGAGGAATCGAACTAGAGAAGGGCATCCCTCTTCATGTGCGCATGCAACACCGAGGTATGCGAAGAGAACCTCAGAGACGACCTCGAGCCCTCGAGAACGCGTCACCGGCACCCCGCCCCGAACCGAGGACCAAGGCCAACGGGACAGGTCCAGATGCTTTCTGCCCGCGCGCTCAGGCGAGCAGCGCTGGGCGGCGGCGCCGCTCCAGGGGGCCGCATCATGAAGCCGATCCCCCCGACGAAGCGCGCTCCCCCGACGCAGCCAACACCGGGCAGGGCAGACCCTGCCAGCGCCGCCGCGCACGTGCCGGCGCAGGGCTGGACGCCCCGCGCCGGCGCGACCCAGCGCGAGACGGGCTCATGAGGGGGAACCTCGAGGATGGAACGGCGATGCATCGCCGACAGATCGGCGACAGGCCCCCGATGGCGAATCCGCACGCTCGGGCACATCGGGTCCACTTCGGGGATTCATGGGCGACCGGGGGTCGATGCATCTCCACCTTGAGCCTATCCCCCCCTTTAACGTTGCCTCTGACCTTTCGCTCCTTGGCTTTCGGGCCATGATTCGGGCACCTAGCGACCGTTCGGGTCGACCCGGGCACCCCTGGAACGTTTTCGACGAGGCGCAGCCGCTGGAGAGCTTCAAGGGGCCAGACAGCCGCAGAGAAGAGACGCAAACCTCCGAAAACCTCAAACCTCGAGCCTACACGCCCCCTTCAACAGTGCCCCTGGCCGCCCCGACCCTCGCCCTCCACCCTGGGCGCCCGGCGGCGGCGAGACGAAGTCCCGGCTGGCATGGCGCCGCCACGCCGCCGGAGCTGGGCCTGCGGGGAGAGAAGGGCGCAGCCGAGCTCGGTGTGCCCCACGCAAACACCCAGGGAGCAGCAGCATGTTTTTTGTCGTCGTGACTCTCCACCGAAAGCCCTGGCACCCGGGCGTTGTAATTTGTTCAAGCCACGTGGTTTCGCCCATTTTCGGGCCCATGGACCATCACCGATCGATCCGTCGCGAAAAATGCCTCAGATGCCACAAGGCATCATGCAAACTGGTGCCGCAAAGAGGCACCGGGCAACAGCAGCAATGGCAGAATCGCCGAGATCTGTCGGACGCTGAAGCGACACTTCCAGAGCTGGTGGTACAGAAGTGCTGTCGAGCACTGTCGTTCCAATCGGGCGGGGGAGGAGGAGGGGCAATCCGGTGGAGGGCGGAAGCAATGGGGAGAGGAAAGCCACGGGAACGGGGCGGCAGGTGAGAAAACGAGGGGAACATAATGAGAGAGAGAGAGAGACAGAGACAGAGACAGAGAGATAGAAACAGGGAGAGAAATACATACAGAAAGAGAGAGAGAGAGACAGAGAAAAGAGAAACAACAAACATCAGTAACGACGATGAGAGGGATCTCTCTCCATCTCTTTATGTTTAAATATGTTATAGAGAGACGGCTATATATATATAGAGATACAGACAAAGAAACAAGATAATTGGAAAGAGAGAGAGAGAGAGAGCGAAAGGGGGAGAGAGAGAGAGAGAGAGACAGAGAGAGAGAGAGAGACAGAAAGAGAGAGAGAGAGAGAGGTGGAGAGAACAAACGAGACTAATGCGAGAGAGGGATGGGCATCAGAGAGAGGTGCGGGCCCCATGCCTCCCAAATCACGGTTTTCCATACATAGGGCTCTGGCGAGGCTTTCGGCTCCAGCGTTCGCATCTTGTTGCTCGCGCCGTTGCTTGTTGCCCCAGGACCGAAAGCGGGCCACCAAACGCCCAAAACTCATACCAGCATGCGATCTCGCTCTTTCTTTCCAGGCGCCAGAGGACGGGGGAGGAGGGAGCCGCCCCTCCTTCCCCGCAGCCTCCTCGCCCCTGAGGAGAGCCCCGCGTTCGCGTGAGGGAATGACGCAACTTGCGCAAGTCCAACCAAGCCTTTTGGGGCGTGCGCGGTCTAAGGAGCTTGTTCTGCCAACCCCCTTCTTCCCCCGTCGGGGAGGGGATTGCCCTCCCCCCGGGCCCACGAGCAGGCCCTGCTGCGTCGCCAGATTGTTCCAGAGATGCTCGTCGTTGCCCAGCTGCGGCAGGCTGGCGACCGCCACTCGGTCTCCCACCGCCGCGGAGCAACCGCGCAGGCCACCCCGGAGCCCTCGCAGCAAGTTGTTCCAGAGCCCCAAGATGACGATGCCCATGCCCTCGCGCATGGCCAGTCTGCCCACCTCGAGAACCCCTGCGCCCAGCAGTTGCCCCTGCTGATCTTCTGGGGGGGCCCGCCAGTGAGACTCTGGAGCCCCTGCGGCGACCTCCAGTCTCGGCGCCTCCCGTCCAGAAAAATACCCAGGAACAAAATCAGGGGCGCGACCCAGCGCCAACGTCGCCCCATCGGCTGAAAGGTCGGTCGACCACATCCACCTGCATCAGCACTTCCAGGCGCAGGGGGTGAACTCACGCCTGCGCGAGCGGCCCCGCGCCTCCGTAGGATTCCAGCGCGCCGCGCCCTAGCTCCAGCGCCGCAGGGCGCCCCGCTTCAGGGTGCACCATCGCGTTCCCCCCAGGTCACGCGACTTCACCTCCTCCTCGATGCACTCGCGCACCTCCGCCTGAAATTCAATGCAATTGCCATGTTTGCTTCGCGCCCCGACCCTGCTCTCGCCTGACCTCGCTCGCGCCCGGTCGCGTCGCCACCGCCGCGAAGCCCTCGTCGCGCGCGTCTGGCGCGCGGCTGGTGGCGCGCCACTCCAGGCCCGGATGCGACGCGAAGGAAACGACCAGCAACGGAAGCGCCCCCAGCAAGTCCTTCGCACCAGGCGAGAGCACCTTTGACGATCCCTTGTCCAGCTCCACCGGCAGGCGCCAGCCCGCCGGCGACGCGCGCCCAGCGCCGCGAACGCGGGCCTGCGGACCTGCGCGCCGTTCTCAACAGCAAGACCGCCTCCGCGCAGATCACCGGGCCCCTCGACTTGTCGGAGGACGTCTTCAGAGCGCGAGGCCGACCCGGCACCGGCCGCCCCAGACCACGACGAAGTCCCTCTCCTGCTCCCTCCTTGCGAACTGCATGCCCGTGCCGGTCCGAGAAATCGCGGGCCTGGCCCTTCGTCGCCTTCAGATCTGGGCCCTCCCCGTCCTTCGCGAGCTCCATCCCGACGTCGTCGTCGACGCGCAGGAGCGGGGCCTCCGCCTTCGCCAAGCTCGGACGCGCCGCGCCCGCGGCGATCTGCTCGGCAGCCAAGCCCCCCATCGCTTCGAAGCAGTCCACCGGCGTAGACTGCGCCGAGAAGACAGCCAAATCAACGCCCATCAAGGGCGCGACCGACCCGGTCCTCGCAGCGCCCTCTGCTGGCCCGAAATCCCAGCGCTCGTTCGGCGCCGCCCCTTGCAGCGCGAAGCGCTGCGCCAGCCTCGTCGGCCCGCCGCTGCAAGCGGAGCCATCGGGCGCATCTTCCCAGGGGCTCGCAAGCACCACCCCCGAATATGTCCTCAGCGAGCTCGAGTTCGGATAGTGCTGAGGGCGACCCCAAGAGAGTCCATGGCGAGCGCCGTCGGAGGTTCACTCTCCTCGCACCCCAAGCGAGTCGCGACTTCACCGCGCCCCCACCGTCGTCGCTCGCCCCCGGCGACGCGGATTAGACCCGCGGTGAGCGTCGCCTCCATCGCGTAGCCGATCATCCCCGCCTGCGCCATCCAAATCGCGATGGTCAAACTGGTCACCCCGTCCTTCACGCCCTGAGCCCAGTAGCCCTTGGGGCCCTCATGCGCCCCCCAGCCCGCCCCCGTCGGGCCCCCCGACATGCGGCCCTCGAAGTGGACCGCGCATGGCGCCGCCGTCGCTGGCGGGCCTCCAATCGATGGCCCCGCGGTCCCCAAGGCGGGGGGGGGCAGCGACGCCCGGCTCGCAACTATCCTGCATTGGTCGCCCGCATGGAAATACTCGTAGACGTCGCAGTCCGTCGAGCGCCCACGCCCCCGCCTGCAGCGCGGCCCGAGCCGCCGGGCCTCGCGAGCGGCGAAATGCCGCCCCGCCGTCGCCGAGGCCTTCCCCCGCTCCCAATCGAGCGCGAAGATCCCAACAGTCGTCGACCACCTCCTTCTGCGCCCCCGTCGCCTCGCCCCACGCGGCTGGGATAATAGCCCCAGCGGCGCGCCCGCCACCCCCCGCGGCGAGGGCCCGCGCGGCCTGGACAGCCCGGCAGGTCCTCGCCGAAGTAGGTCGCAACTGCTCCGTCGGGAGGCCCCGCTCGAGGAAGTCCACCGTCGCCCGGCGCCAATGGCCGAAGCGCCGCCCCGCCTGGGTCACGACGCACACTGCGCCCGCCCGGGCCCGCGACGCACACGACGCGGCCCTCGCCCGAAATATCAATCTGCGCAGAGACCCGCGCTCCAGGGGGCATCGTTGCGACGTCCGGCAGCAGCGCGACCCTGTCCCACCCCGGGCCGGAAGATCCCCCCGCCGACGATGCCCGCGCAGCGCGGGCCCAGAGGAGCGAGCGCAGAAGTGCGAGGCATGCCCAAGGGTTGCCCTTTCGAAGCAAATCCTCGGGCCACCCCCAGTCGTCGCCCCCGGGCGCACTGTCGCGCGCCGCCGTCGAGCGCCTGGCCATCCGCGACCCCCCCCCCCGCGCTGCGGCGACCCCCTCGGCTGCAATGCGACCCTCGATGCTATCCCGCGCGGCCAGCCCCTTCACCTCGAGGAGATGTGCAAATTCGACCTCTACGTTGGCCCTTTCAGCTATCCGCGGTTGCTTCCCAGCCGGCCTCGCAGGCGGCCTCGCCGCAGGCCATCGCGATGGCGCGCGTCCGCAGGCAGCCCAACTCACGCGCTCGAGAACTGATGGGCTCATCAAGACCACCGCGGCAACTCTTCGGTCCAGCATCCCCGCTAGCAGCAGCACCTCGTTCGCGTGGGCGCCCTAGCCCCTTGCTGCGCGGCCACTCCTGCGCGTCGGCCTCGGCCGGCCGCCCCGTGCGACGCGCCTTGGACCGCTGGCGCGGCGCTGCCGTTGACGCTGCTGGCCCCCCCGTGCAAACTGCTTGCTCCCGCGTGGCTACTGCCCGAGTCGCTCTTCGACATGCCCTCGCGCTCGTTCAGCGCGGCAGTGACTTGGGCGAGCTGAAAAGCGGGCGGTGGTCAAGAGCCCTCTGCGCGCTCGCCTCCTGCCGCCGCGCTGGCCCCAGCTCTGAATGTCCATCTCGTCTGGCTGTCGTCGCGGCCGCGGGCCCTGCGCACATCTCGATCTGCCCGCGTCGAAGCTCAGCATTAAAGCCCTTTGCATCGGTTTCGCCGCCAACATCGGGCACCTTAGTCCCCGCGATCAGCTCGCTGCCCGACTCGACATCCGCCTCCGAGTCACTGTCGCTTCAGATGCGACGCCGCTGGTCAAACGCCATCAGCGCGCCCCCCACACGCATCGAGGTCGTCTCCAGCTCCCCTCCCTCGAGCAAGTCCACATCGGTAGTCCACCAAACCGATGCTTCGTTTGCTGTTTCCGTTGCCGCCTCTGCTGCGCCAGAAATGCCTTTCAACATGTATGTGCCCAAGCTTGGAGTGCTCCCGAATACACCAACATAGCAAGGCTCCCCCCGGAAAGTTGCCCACGAACGGTGCAGCCATCCGATGCTGAACAGTTAGGAAATAACCGTACCCATCAATTTCACCGTGCGTCCTCTGGCGGAACTTGTCTCATGCCGAACTTCCAGGGCGACGTTATTTAATTGTCGCCATGTTTGCTTCTGTCAATTTTCGGGGGGCCACGTTGACGGCGTGCATTCAAACGTTGCGATGCTGACGAAATCATGTCACGGTTCTTCTCCGTCAACCCAGGAAGCAGTGCCCACGTGACTCCAGCAATCGGTTTGGTAGATCCTACAGACTGATCCTTCAACGAAAAGATCTACACCCTGAGGTTTGGGTCCACGCGCGTCCGAATTTGGTGCGTCGGCTTACCCACACGCTCGACCAGTAGCATCACAAACTCTGTGTTGCTCCTTCGGGTGGTACTTGATACGACTCCGTTGGGTCCAGACCCCATGACTAGAATATTGGATCCGACGATCACGATCCTCTCCTGAAGTGTGGGCGTAGCCGCCCCCGCTGCAGGGGCCCTCGTCGGACCCCTCGTCCCGCTTCTCGGTTTCCTCCTCGAAGCTCAGGCCGAACAAAATCAAAGACCGCGTCGGCGCTGATGTCCACGACGGTGGCCTCCGCCTCCTCGTGGATGTCCTCGCGCAAGGCGAAGAGCGCGAACCCCGCGCAGGCGACGGCCCACGCTCGCGGAATCGCGCCCCTGCGGTGGAAATCGTGCCCACGGCACGACCGCGAAAAGGCCCGCCCCTGGGCCTGGCCTGTGCCGACGTGAACCCCACTCGGAACGGAGGGGGAGCAAAGGGGGGAAGGCGGCTAACAAACTACAGTGTTGGACGTAAAGCAAATCAAAAACAACTCGTGCATTTCTCGCCGTGCTTTTAGCACGACGCAGGTGTGCCTGAGGATGAGGGGCCCTCATCGTTGCCCCTGGCCCCTCCTGTGGAGGCTTCCCATATGGAGTCGGAGAAGATTGAATCGGAGGATCGCGCCGCATCGTCGATGCATCACCGATGCATCGGCATCGGCGACGTCGGCGTGGAGAAGATCGGCCCCACATCGAGCCGCATCGGCGATGCATCGGCGATGCGGCGCGATCCTCCGACCCATCTACGTCGACCCCATCAGGGAGGCCTGAATCCTGCTCCCCTCGCCGGAAAGCGCACGCCTGCAGGTGCCCCGCTGGAGCCCGCCGGCTGGGCCATCGGCCGCCACAGGCGCGGCGCCAGGGTGCCCGCGGTGGATCTGCCTCCGGCGGGGGGTTGTGCGCCCGCCCTGCTCTGGGAAACCGAAGGACATGATAATACGATGTGCTATGTACTCATGCCTCCTCCCTCCTTACGCTCTCCCTACTCCTCCGCCTTCGCCGATTCCTCCACCATCATCCCCCTCTTGGGGTACGGCATCTTGCCCAGCCCTTCCTTCCAATGCGTGCCCCTCCCTGGGGTTCTGAAGGACGCACTGATAAGCAGCACCCCGCAGTTGCGAATAAAGAGTGAGGGGGCGGGCGCGGGGTGGGTCGCGGGGTGGATCGCGGGGGGGTCGCGGGGCAAAAACGGCGACAACAACAAGGGAACGCCGGCCTTCTGAGCCCCATCCAACGGGGCGTGCTTCCCCGTCGCTCCCCACGGGAGCTACGCCGGGCTTCTGACGCCCACTCTGGGAGAGGGGAGGGAACATGTGAGACTATTTGAGGACGCTCTGTCTCTGTGTGTGTGTGTCTCTCTATCTCTCATTCTCTTTCTCTTCCTCTTTTGTCTCTCTCTCTCTCTCTCTCGCTCTCTCCCTCTCTCTCTCTCTCTCTCTTGCTCGCTCTATGTCTCTTTAATCCGCCGCAAAGGGATCCTTTTGTAAGCCTCGGCGCAAGGAATTATTTTGTAACCCGCCTCACAAGGATTCCTTTCGTAGCAGATGCATCAGGGGGCCGAGGGGGGTACAGCCAAGAGCGAGAAAACAAGACAACCCCCAAAAACGCCTGGGGCTCTCAATTCGGTATTATTGCTTCGTGGCTGGCGGCCCCGTAGGCCGCCGGGGCAGTGGACAACCAGCCACACATGGATCCCTCTGTAAGCACCCGCAGAAGCAATCTTTTTGTAATCCGCCTCAAAAGGAGTCCATTGGTGGCAGACGCACAAGAGGGCCGAGGGCCCAGAGGGGGTACCAGCTAAAGGGGAAGAAGACGCCTGGGACTCAGAACTGTTCTCCTTGTTTCGTGGCTGGCGGCCCCGTAGGTCGTCGGGGCAGCGGGTCGCCAGCCACAAGAAATCAACTAAAACATGATATTCCCAGGCTTTGCTCTCTTTTTTCAATGCTTCTTGTTTGGTCGTGTTTTTCTTCCTTGGCTGGTACTCGCCGGGACCCTCGGTCTTCCTGTACTCATACTGGAAGAGCAGGATCGGAGGGGGGGAGGAATGCGCATTGCAATTCTTATCGTGGACGAGGAGGAAGAAGGGAGGAAGGAATTCGCACTGCATTCTTAATGTGTTCTTGGTGTTCTCCGATTGTTCTCCTATTGGGGTAGGAGGAGGGGGGAGGAAAGAGGGAGGGGGGATCACTCCCCATTCCCGGTTGCCCCCTCTCCTCCCGCCGATCCTCCTCCAATTTCTCTCCTCCTCCCTCCTCCACACTGCATTGGCTTGCGTCGCGTTGCCTTGCACCGCGTTGCGTTGCATTGCATTGTGTCGCGTTGCCTGGCTTCGAACTGGATTGCGTTGTGCTGCATTGCGTTGCATTGCATCGCGTTGGATTGCATCCTGTTGCATCGCATTACGCCTCATGTGCATTGCGAAGGGTTTCGTATAGGCCCTCGGCGTAGATGGGGCCCAAGGGTCGGAGGGAGTACGTTGCATTGCATTGTGTTGCATCCTGTTGAATTGCATTACGTCGCATGTGCATTGCACTTGGGCCCCGACTGAGCCCTCTGCATAGACGGGGCCCAAGGGTCGGAGGAAGGGAGGTGCGGGGGGACTTCCGATCGCATTATTATGGCATGTCTGCTGTAGTGCGCATATGCTGCTGATGGAGAAGCACATCCGACCCGAGCACATAGTAGAACATCTTGTAATAGATCTCTTCCCGAGCGGTATGGTACAAAGAGCCCGCCACGGAACTTATACTACACGATGTCCGAGCGTGCGCGTCGCCATTGCGTGGCCGACGCCCCTCTAGCAGAAGTATGCTTGGGCGGCGCGGGTACCCAGACCCCCTTGCGGATGCGGATGCAGCGGTGCCGGGGTCACCCCTTCTGGGGCCCCTGGAGGGCGGCCTGGCTCGCTGAGAAGTTCCGCCTCGAGACCCCCTCGCGCATCGAAAAAACACGAGGGACGGCATTGTTGCATCAATTTCGGCCTCTGGAGACTCCCGCTAGGCCCCGAGACCGTCAACGAGACCAGTCGGGGAGAGAGGCTGGTCCGGAGAGACGGGCGAGACCGAAGTGCAGCGGGGCCTTCCGCTGTGGACTGCGCCCCTCTTCGACCAGCCTGGCCCCCGCAACGCCCCCGGAGGAGGAATGATGCGGGGGGCGCTTGCCTCTGGACTCAAAGCATTCCCCCCCCCTCCCCTCCCTCGCCCCTCCTTCCTCCACTCCTCCGCGCCCGCCTTTTCACGCAGCGCTGGCGCGAAAAGGCGCACAAGTGAGTCCCGACCTGGGTGAGGTCTAGATTTCCTTTCGGGCCTGGCCCCCCCCCGCCTCCTCCATGCAAGAAAACTTGCCAGAGCCTACAGAAAAGCGCCTCTAGGGGGGGGGGGACTGGCTCGAAATGGAACGAACTACAACCGACTAGTCCCAATCCCAACCGTTCGGAGCGAATTGCAACCAGAAAAGAGACCAATTCCAACCACACATGAGACCAATTCCAACCCAACCAAAAATGAAACCAATTCCAACCACGGATGGGATCTTCGGAATTCCTCCGGATCCCTTCGAATTCTTCGGAATTCCTCAGGATTCTTTAGGACTCCTTCGGAATTCCTCAGGATTGTTTAGGACTCCTTCGGAATTCCTCAGGATTCTTTAGGACTCCTTCGGAATTCTTTAGGACTCCTTCGGAATTCCTTACGATTCCTTCGGAATTCCTTACGATTCCTTCGGAATTCCT